GAGAGAGAGAGAGAGAGAGAGAGAGAGAGAGAGAGAGAGAGAGAGAGAGAGTCATGTGTAGTATTTACTCTTACCTCTACCCTTATCCTCACTGAACGCATTAATGACAGGAAAACGAACTATAGAAATAGAAATATACACTCACAAACGCAGGAATCCACATTTAAAAAAGCAAATACATGTACATAAATACCAATACTCTCATAAAATAAAATGCACTGCAACAAAAATGTATTAAGAAAACAAATAAAATGTCAGTTTTTACTTTTCTCTTGGTGAAAGTTCTGAAACCACGGGAAGTATTTTCTCAAGAGCATCGCTCTTTCTCCTACCTATTAGCATACCGTATCACAAACAGCATTGGTTTTTTCCCGAAAGACAGAGTCGAAGCAGCCCGCCTCTCAAAGGATAGAAGTTGTGTTCATGGTCTCGTAATATTTTGACAATTATTCTCGAGAATTCCCGTAATAAGTATATGCTTCGAAGAATGTCAGTCATACTCATTTTTTTTTTTTGACAAGCAACATATTTTCTCTGCATGAATCAAGAAATTTCGTTTCCCTTCAAAATTCCATTTCTGATTCGCCAAAAAATGCACTGCATTCAAAAGTGCACTTTAAGGATGCCAAAATGTAGTAACGCTGGTAAACGACATTCTCGAGTAAAATAGAACATATTTTCCAAGTCGAAGACAGAAAAGGAAATAGTGTCAGTACCTACAGGATCAGCACTGCTTCCGTTTCTGAACTCGTTTTCAACTCCATTTACACAGCCTATTCCTTCAGATCTTATTCCATCACTCCCTCCTATCCTACCTCGTAGCTCGATTGTCTCAATATGCACCATCAACCTCATTTCCCGTTCTCCAAAAATTATTTCCCAAAAGTGCTCTCCTACTCCCCCCCAATCCTATTTTTTCATCTCAATTCCTTTTTCTTCTAACTGCTACCCATTCGTCTACCTATTATTTCCTATTCTTCCCTCGTATATCTTAAAGGCTCAATACGCAAGGGTGAACGGAGCATACAATAAATTTAAATTGATTTCTCCAACGACTCACACCTCCACTCAATCAATGATCCACACATTAAGACTTACACACCTACATACTCTGACATAATAATAAAGAGAGACTGACGGACTGACAGACAGACAGACAGACAAACAGACAGAGAGACAGACAGCTCTCTTGGTCTGGAGGTTCAGGTATTCGCCTCTCATTCAATAGCTCCCAGGTTCGAATCCGGAGAGCGTGGACAATTTTCTTCTCTAAAACTTTCTCCTGTCACATCCTTTCCTGCTGTCTAACAATGTTCTGTCATTTGCTTTTGTCACCACTTTCTGCCCCCACCCCTTAACCTATCTTGACCCCTCCTCTACACCCCTGACTCTTTCTGCAGCTACTACTCCTGCTACTCCTTGACTCCTTCTTACCGCTGTCTTTCAGCCACACCCTTGATCTTCTGGTGGGAAAGATCTGCACCTAGCCTTCTCGGATAAAGGCGAAAAACCTCGGAGGTCCTGTGTGCAAGTAGTGCACGTTAAAGATCCCTAGATGGTCCAAAATTGATAAGAGTAGGCTTCGGCCGCCACCCTGGCAAAATTCAAAATTACTACCAACAGAAAAAGTTTAATGTGTCCCGCGCGCTCATATGACCTTATGCAGTTGCGAGCACCGTAAAACACTTACCAAAATAACAACAATGACAACAGCAACAACAACAACAACAAAAACAGACAGACAGACAGACAGACTGACTGACAGACAGACAGACAGACAGACAGACAGACAGA